TTCAAATGTCCTCATTTTGCCATGTACTTACACCAAGGGTGGGTGTTTCTGTCCAAAATAAAATGGCACAAAATACCTATTTTGGATAGAAACACCGACCCTAAGTGAAAAAATTGGACATAGTTAAGATATTAGAAAAATAACAATTAATACCTTCCTTTCGTAATAAGTACATTGAAGTGCAAAATGTACTTCTTATCGTAAACTTGTAAACAGTAAAAATTAAATAGGAATTGGTGCAAAATATCAATTTGAAATGACCGCCCCCTTATTTTTATACGTAGACATTTTATGTAAATGTCGCAGTCGTTGTTTCTGATGTTAACAGGCCAATGTCGGTTGTTTAAAAATAAACTATAAATAGTTATCGTATGCAAAGACTATCCGTTGATGTTAGGAACAGCCAACAGTGCTACAGCCTGTTCAATAACATCTTCAGTAGTCCAGGTAAGTCATCATCTCATTGGGCCATTGTGCCACAAATCTTCAATTGAATATGAAGTGATTGTAGTTTGCCTGCACTAGATCACATATTTTTCATTGATTATGTGAAAAAAATCCTTTAGAGATATTGCAACCATTCGGCTTTAACATCTTTGTCTCCCAGAAATAATGAAATCATTAATTTTCCTGTCGTTTGTAAAGTCTGTGAAGTTATTAATTCTCCGATGAAAATCGATCGACGAGATGCTTTTTCTCTGATTAACTAATCGATATTTGGATAATGTTTCAACGCTAAAAAACTAAAATAAAAAGACTCTTGCACTAAGAAAATATCAATATCTGTTCAGTAACATAATTTCATGGCTGTTTACCCAGAATGAATAAAGAGCATGTAAGTTACAATATTGAGGACACTCGTTCTAAAAATGTTTAAATATTAAAATAATTAAATATGAAACAAATGATTTCACACAAAACATACCTCTTGCAAGAAGAAGACATTGGAACCACATTGTTGAAATTCAAACGACTTCGCCTTTGAAATCTGTAGTGAATTATTGCTGTACGTAAATTCCTAATGGGATACTTCACTTCTATGTTGGCGCTTATATACGCGAAGAAAAATAGTCCTTCGCTCCTATCGACATGGCATACATTACTATAAATATTTGAAGAAAAATCTCAAATGGAAACAGAAAGTGTACATATAATAAGACGTCTTCATATTGATTATCAATTTGCTATAAGGGTTTATGACCTGTTTTACATTGATATTCCCTGTTAATGAAACCGTCACTAATAAGCTTTCGTTTGTAAGAAAATCTATTCGTACATATTAGAGAATAATCACCATTACAGTGTTTATGGATGATATCATGTCTTCGTTATGTTATTAATAGTTAATATCTAGATACTTTCTATAAAGGAGGAAGAGCAGTAAATGTCCCCATTATATCTTATATAATTGCACTATGACATTTATTGCTTTCAATATAATCGGCTTTTGAGAAGGAAAAAAAAACAATTATGACGAACTTATTGGACCATCAGTGTTTGTTGTGACCGTTATATCATGGAATGTAAATTTTGATTTTCAGACTTCCCCAAAATCAAAACACGACGACAAGAATCAATATAACGATAAATCTTGTGTATGGGTGGTTGTTCTGATATAAATGGAACCTAATTGATATCTGTCTAATGGTCACTAGCCGTTATTTACGTATGTTTTCACATAAATTGTGAGGCTGCAAGTTGCATAGCTACTCTGTCTAATAATACTCACATGTGTTCTGTGGATACAGATTTTGCACTTGGAATATTTATACCTGTACATTATTCAATAGTTCTTAGCAATATATCTATCATGTTTATGCTGCATTTCAAGTCCAACTCCATAAACGTCGATCTTTTATAATAACTAACACAACTTTATATCATGACAAAAAGTATTTATAAAGGGAATGATTAGTAAGAAATATAACTAAATGTTTACTAATTCCTCCGTTGTTTCACAAGGAGATCCTCGTTAAATCCGTTCATAAGATTACGTAAAAAAATAAATAAACGTAGAAAGCAGAAAGTAAGCCTAGTCTGTGGAAGCGTTATGTTAATGGCATGTTAGAAATAATCATACACGGATCACATAAGGATTTGACTGCGAATATCAATAATGTGGATACCACAAACAGCGTCAAATTTACATCTGATGAAGAAATCGATGGCACTCTCTCATTCCTTGACACCTTCCTAGTAAAAATGATGACGGTACTATCAAAGTCTATAGGAAAAAGACACACATAGACCAATTCCCCAACTTCCGCTCGTACCACTCCTTATACTAAAAGCTGGGCATTATGCTCAACAGATGAGAAATGATTGGCACGGAAGAACAAGACAATAACCAAGAAAAAATCACATCCATAGCATATGAAAACACTGATTGGGCAGCCCAGAAATTTAACAACGAATTTAGTAAAAACAAGAAACAAGAGTTAAAAGCATCATGATATCTGGGTAAAATACTGCAATTGCTACCTGTTAGAAAATATTGTAAAAACTGAATATACACATTTCCGTTGCAATTTATTGAAAACAGAAAACATAAAACAAAAAACATCTCTGAATAGAGTACAAGCCTTTATTCTCTAATAATAAACGGTAATCATGATTTTTTTGTCGCGAAGAATTGAAACTGACACAAAAAGATATGATGAAAATTTCCAGAATAGTTTTGGATTAAACAAAAATATGATGTGCTTGAATAATTGATAACAAAATAGTGTTGACCTTAGTGATTATTTTCATTTCTGGTATTTCATACATATGGTATGATACCTACCCTGATCCAACTCTTAATGTAATAAAAAAGTTACATGAAGTGTCTTTATTACAATAGGACTTACAACTACGTCCTTCAAACCTCTGTTGATAGTTCAAATTTTCAACATGGATGCAATGGGTTATAATAAGAGCATATATCTACTATTTTGACTATTGCTTTACTGCTTTTATAGGTATCGTATCCAACTACTGCATAATGTATCGAATTGACATTTTATATTGAAACGTCTTAATTATAAATGCAATCAAAATTAGTCCAAGATATTACAAAAACACAAATGAATATCACATTTTAATGCAAACTTAAAGTTAGATAGATTCAAATAATTTAACTGCTTCATACAGCTGTTTCGTCCTCCTAGTATGCGTCAGTGATGCTAAGGGCCTCAATTCTGAAGCCTAGGAGGCATCTACAGTAAAGGGGTAAGGATAACCAATACCGTGAAGTGTATCTGCTATTTATCAAAAAGTTAAAAATAGAATAACCACAGATTACACGTGGGTTATATCCTTACATGCCCTAAAAATTAAATAATCGTAAGAAAGACACACAGGACATGCATAGAATGATAAAAAACTAACGGGAGAGCAACGGGAAATATATTCCTTTGGTAGTAAGAAATGGAATTAATAGACTTTCTTTGTAATAAAAAATGAGTTGTTGCTCTTATACACAATAAATTGATGTTTTAACCTTTTAACGTTTGGAAATTGTATCCAGAATTTAATAATGTGCTGCTTGGGTTGCTGCCCCTGATCTGGTTCCTTTCATTGTCCTTTGTTGTCCTGTTTCCTTGGATCCTATATATTGTATTACGGTTACCTTGAGTCAAGAATCTATTATTTTGTATGTCAACATACTCATTGTCTCATAGATTCATTAATAATTTTCATTAAATATTAATAGGGATATATAACTCTTATCTTTTCAGTTAATCAGACGATCAAAATGACTACATGTATTTTAACACGACGAGGGTGCTTTGTTAAATCCATCTTATGTATTCTATTTTTACATACTTAAACTTGCCTCACCAATATATGATCATTTCGAAGAGGACACAGTTAACAATAAGTCAATATGATAAAATACAGTCGATTCCCGTCACTGCCGAATACAGCAAAATATGTGTGGCAGGTGTAATGCACTTGTACAATGTAGGATAAATTCGAATAAGTGAATAACTGTTTTCATGCATTTGTTTTTTAGTTTGGTGCCTCAAGCTTACCCATGGGAACGAGACTTTTTTTTCAAATCGGTATTTGAATTTCCAATTTTGGGAAAATCTAGGAAACAAAATTTTAACACAGAAGCTGTACGATGGAACTTGTTAAGAAATTATTGAGTCTGTGTTCATCCCAATCTATTTGAACACACGAGATCCACTAGCCTTAGACCTGTTACATGCTGCATGGCACAGGCTCATTTTTATATTAGCATAGTAGGGCATGTGACCCTGTATTGAATGGTGCATTATTGTACTGCGTGACGATGTCTTCCGGGTAATTTCTGATAGCATTAAACAATGACACTACCGCAGGAAGTTCAGAGGGGTCAGGCTATTGCAATGATTATGAAAGGTCAAAGGCAAATACAAGTTGCCAGACATTTCGGTGTCCATATTTACAATGAGGAACGTCTTGTTAGACGTCTAATATGTTTGTGTGTACTAGCGAATCATCACAATATGTTTGTGTGTACTAGTGTATCATCACAATATGTTTGTGTATACTAGTGTATCATCACAATATGTTTGTGTGTACAAGTGTATCATCACAATATGTTTGTGTATACTAGTGTATCATCACAATATGTTTGTGTGTACAAGTGTATCATCACAATATGTTTGTGTGTACTAGCGAATCATCACAATATGTTTGTATGTACTAGCGAATCATCACAATATGTTTGTGTGTACAAGTGTATCATCACAATATGTTTGTGTATACTAGTGTATCATCACAATATGATTGTGTGTACTAGTGAATCGTCACAATATGTTTGTGTATAATAGTGTATCATGACAATATGTTTGTGTGCATTAGTGTATCATCACAATATGTTTGTGTGTACTTGTGTATCATCACAATATGATTGTGTGTACTAGTGTATCATCACAATATGTTTGTGTGTATAGTGTATCATCACAATATATCTATATATTCCTCCGTATCATTAAATTAGCCTTGCGAGTTCCGTGATCATGGTAGGGTTAGTGACATGCATTTAGGACATACATGTTCGTGTTCGTTGCGATATTTTCCACGTAGACCTTGTTGTAGACATCATAAAGGCGGCATGTTTGAAACTCTTCCTCCGTCTTGGTTATGGTGAATGACACACATTTCAGATGCCTTACACAGTAGACAGCGCACTTTCTTAAGGTGGTGTTAATTTTCTCGTCCAAGTGATTTATGCTTGGAATAAAGCCCCGGTCCGCATGTGCCTTTTTGAAGTGGGAATCGTTTCTGTTGAACGGGGAACAAGTCGTGCTCGCAGTGGTAGCTGTGATCGTAATCTCTAAAATGTACGAAGAATAATGTTGATTAATAATTATAATTCGGTTGTATTTAACAGAACTTTATTATTCAATTTAAAGATAACCTTTACATCATTGTTGACAAATGTGAGATTCCCATTTAAAATGGATGCCGTTATAGATGTGTGAAACATGTGATATGAATTTAGTAATAGACATGACATGTGCCGAAGAACAAAGGAAACTGAATTAACATACAAGAAGAATTTTCTAGTACCTTATATAGTATTCTCATCGAAAACGAATTCAAATTTGAAATCTGTGTAAAATATTTTAAAAAGTCTAAATTTGGACTATATTTTACCATGGAATAGCAAAATACTATCGAGAATGTAATGTGTGCAGGAATCCGTCTCCAAGCACATAATAAAGTCATCTTATTATTGTACAACAATTTGTGTCCTTTATCATTGAAAGTAACATCCGACGCATTTTTTTCGACAGCGAAACAATTGCTTTTAGTAAGTTTTTGCTTGAAACGTTCTTCTCAACTGATCAACTGATTTGTAAAAGTTAGTGAGTGTCGTAAAATAGTGTTGTGGGCCTTTACATTACGCTTTTGTTGATCTTCAACCTATCTAAGAGGTATCAACTTTTTCCGAGGATAGATGTGATGGTCAATAATTTATCTTACTGACATCTGGTATCATTAATTTGTAGTCATTATTGAAGCAATATGTATGTATCAGGTCCTGTATTCATGAAGCCGTTCTCATGCTCAAGCATGAATTTTGTGCTCAAGCATTATGCCTTGCTAAAGTTAAAAAATAATAAATAAGGCTGATTTTGACAAAAGATTTAAAAAAAAAATTGAAAGGACTTCAAGTCAAAGCATTATTCAATGTTTATATTTGACATTTTTATTATTTTATGTGATTTAGGTGAATTATAAAAATATTTGCTTGAGCACAAAATCTATGCTTGAACATGAGAATGGTTTCATGAATACGAGCCTAGGTGTAGATATAACATTAATTTAGAAATAATTTAATATATCAGTTGTAATGGCAATATTAGCTGTCACCATAGAAATGATTCAATATATCGGATGTGGTAATATTAGCTGTCACCATAGAAATAATTCAATATATCGGATGTGGTTATATTAGCTGTCACCATAGAAATGATTTGATATATCGGATGTGGTAATATCAGCTGTCACCATAGAAATAATTCAATATATCGGATGTGGTAATATTAGCTGTCACCATAGAAATAATTCAATATATCGGATGTGGTTATATTAGCTGTCACCATAGAAATAATTCAATATATCGGATGTGGTTATATTAGCTGTCACCATAGAAATAATTCAATATATCGGATGTGGTAATATTAGCTGTCACCATAGAAATAATTCAATATATCGGATGTGGTTATATTAGCTGTCACCATAGAAATAATATATCGGATATATTAGCTGTCACCATAGAAATAATTCAATATATCGGATGTGGTAATATTAGCTGTCACCATAGAAATAATTCAATATATCGGATGTGGTAATATTAGCTGTCACCATAGAAATAATTCAATATATCGGATGTGGTTATATTAGCTGTCACCATAGAAATAATTCAATATATCGGATGTGGTAATATTAGCTGTCACCATAGAAATAATTCAATATATCAAATGTGGTTATATTAGCTGTCACCATAGAAATAATTAAATATATTGGATGTGGTAATATTAGCTGTCAATATATCGGATGTGGTTATATTAGCTGTCACCATAGAAATGATTCGATATATCGGATGTGGTAATATTAGCTGTCACCATAGAAATAATTCAATATATCGGATGTGGTTATATTAGCTGTCACCATAGAAATAATTCAATATATCAAATGTGGTAATATAAGCTGTCACCATAGAAATAATTCAATATATCGGATGTGGTTATATTAGCTGTCACCATAGAAATGATTCAATATATCGGATGTGGTTATATTAGCTGTCACCATAGAAATAATTCAATATATCGGATGTGGTTATATTAGCTGTCACCATAGAAATGATTCAATATATCGGATGTGGTTATATTAGCTGTCACCATAGAAATAATTCAATATATCGGATGTGGTAATATTAGCTGTCACCATAGAAATAATTAAATATATCGGATGTGGTTATATTAGCTGTCACCATAGAAATGATTCAATATATCGGATGTGGTTATATTAGCTGTCACCATAGAAATAATTCAATATATCGGATGTGGTAATATTAGCTGTCACCATAGAAATAATTCAATATATCGGATGTGGTTATATTAGCTGTCACCATAGAAATAATTCAATATATCGGATGTGGTTATATTAGCTGTCACCATAGAAATAATTCAATATATCGGATGTGGTAATATTAGCTGTCACCATAGAAATGATTCAATATATCGGATGTGGTAATATTAGCTGTCACCATAGAAATGATTTGATATATCGGATGTGGTAATATTAGCTGTCACCATAGAAATGATTCAATATATCGGATGTGGTAATATTAGCTGTCACCATAGAAATGATTCAATATATCGGATGTGGTAATATTAGCTGTCACCATAGAAATGATTCAATATATCGGATGTGGTAATATTAGCTGTCACCATAGAAATGATTCAATATATCGGATGTGGTAATATTAGCTGTCACCATAGAAATGATTTGATATATCGGATGTGGTAATATTAGCTGTCACCATAGAAATGATTTGATATATCGGATGTGGTAATATTAGCTGTCACCATAGAAATAATTCAATATATCGGATGTGGTTATATTAGCTGTCACCATAGAAATAATTCAATATATCGGATGTGGTAATATTAGCTGTCACCATAGAAATAATTCAATATATCGGATGTGGTAATATTAGCTGTCACCATAGAAATAATTCAATATATCGGATGTGGTTATATTAGCTGTCACCATAGAAATAATTCAATATATCGGATGTGGTAATATTAGCTGTCACCATAGAAATAATTCAATATATCGGATGTGGTTATATTAGCTGTCACCATAGAAATAATTCAATATATCGGATGTGGTAATATTAGCTGTCACCATAGAAATAATTCAATATATCGGATGTGGTTATATTAGCTGTCACCATAGAAATAATTCAATATATCGGATGTGGTGGTAATATTAGCTGTCACCATAGAAATAATTCAATATATCGGATGTGGTGGTAATATTAGCTGTCACCATAGAAATAATTCAATATATCGGATGTGGTTATATTAGCTGTCACCATAGAAATAATTCAATATATCGGATGTGGTAATATTAGCTGTCACCATAGAAATAATTCAATATATCGGATGTGGTTATATTAGCTGTCATAGAAATAATTCAATATATCGGATGTGGTTATATTAGCTGTCACCATAGAAATGATTCGATATATCGGATGTGGTTATATTAGCTGTCACCATAGAAATGATTCGATATATCGGATGTGGTAATATTAGCTGTCACCATAGAAATAATTATATCGGATGTGGTATATATCACCATAGGATGTGGTAATATAAGCTGTCACCATAGAAATGATTCAATATATCGGATGTGGTAATATTAGCTGTCACCATAGAAATAATTCAATATATCGGATGTGGTGGTAATAGTAGCTGTCACCATAGAAATAATTCAATATATAGGATGTGGTAATATAAGCTGTCACCATAGAAATAATTCAATATATCGGATATGGTGGTAATATTAGCTGTCACCATAGAAATAATTCAATATATCGGATGTGGTAATATTAGCTGTCACCATAGAAATGATTCAATATATCGGATGTGGTTATATTAGCTGTCACCATAGAAATAATTCAATATATCGGATGTGGTTATATTAGCTGTCACCATAGAAATAATTCAATATATCGGATGTGGTTATATTAGCTGTCACCATAGAAATAATTCAATATATCGGATGTGGTAATATTAGCTAGTCAATATATCCATAGAAATAATTCAATATATCGGATGTGGTTATATTAGCTGTCACCATAGAAATAATTCAATATATCGGATGTGGTTATATTAGCTGTCACCATAGAAATAATTCAATATATCGGATGTGGTAATATTAGCTGTCACCATAGAAATAATTCAATATATCGGATGTGGATGTGGTAATATTAGCTGTCACCATATATCGGAGAAATAATTGTGGTAATATTAGCTGTCACCATAGAAATATATATATCGGATGTGGTAATATTAGCTGAAACATCTCGGGACTGTAGGTAGGGGAGTGACTTTATACTATATTATATAATCATCTGGGGGCTGTAGGTAGGGGAGTGACTTTACACTATATTATATAATCATCTGGGGACTGTAGGTAGGGGAGTGACTTTACACTATATTATATAATCATCTCGGGACTGTAGGTAGGGGAGTGACTTTACACTATATTATATAATCATCTCGGGACTGTAGGTAGGGGAGTGACTTTACACTATATTATATAATCATCTGGGGACTGTAGGTAGGGGAGTGACTTTACACTATATTATATAATCATCTGGGGGCTGTAGGTAGGGGAGTGACTTTACACTATATTATATAAACATCTTGGGACTGTAGGTAGGGGAGTGACTTTACACTATATTATATAATCATCTGGGGACTGTAGGTAGGGGAGTGACTTTACACTATATTATATAATCATCTGGGGACTGTAGGTAGGGGAGTGACTTTACACTATATTATATAATCATCTCGGGACTGTAGGTAGGGGAGTGACTTTATACTATATTATATAATCATCTGGGGGGCTGTAGGTAGGGGAGTGACTTTACACTATATTATATAAATATCTCGGGACTGTAGGTAGGGGAGTGACTTTACACTATATTATATAAATATCTCGGGACTGTAGGTAGGGGAGTGACTTTACACTATATTATATAATCATCTGGGGACTGTAGGTAGGGGAGTGACTTTACACTATATTATATAA